ATGTAAATGGAATGTTTATCTGTTCATTGTGATTTTAATTCAAWCACATTGTGTTGCTTTTGCCCTTGTATTTCTGTACATTCTTCTGGCCCAAGAGTTTGTCACTGTGTTCATCTCATTAAATATGAGTACCCACTCAGTAAATATGTGTACTTTCAAATATGTGTACTTCCACTCAGTAAATATGGGTACTTTCAGAAATGATGCCTCAGTTTAGTAACAGATGCTTCTTTAAATATTTAGAATTTTAAAGTGTAAAGAAGCCGTCAGTAGCATTCTGATTTGTGTATAAATATTTATTTAGCACACGTTCTGGCCAATGTACTGCCCTTGATTTTTGTGCAAAACTTACAGTAACTTCAATGGAAATTTTGAGCTCATGACTAGGGAAGAATATGGCTAATTCATCAACCCAGCTGCTCTAGCATCCCGGAATAGCAAGCAAAAACTCCATGATGGAAATGGGGAAACAGGAGCGTTTGTATCATTCTCAGCTTTCCCTTGCTGGGGACACGTTTGGCGACCAGGCTAAGTCAGAACAGGCTTTGGGCTATTTTGATTCTCTCCAGACATTTTTAGCTAGATTCTCATCACCTGGAGCAAAGCAGTGGCAAAAACCTATGAAACCAGTGACCAGTTCCAAGTGCTCTAGAAATGCACGCTGGAAATCCAGTGGGAGGGATTTATGTGATATATTATGCATGGGGAAGTTTCCAGATACATAACGCAGCGTAATCTCTTTAAAGGTATGGTGTTTGGCCTTTCAAAAATACTCTTTTCTTTTTCAGTATTTATTTGCACCACTCTAAGTATCGCAGAAGTCAGGAATTAGTAATGAATACTGTGTCTAGCAGGAATTCCTTACTGGTAGGAAAATCCTAGACAACCCTCTCAGTGAGCCTGGCAGAACTGTTAAGTCTTTATACAGTGTGTGAGTAGAAAAAGCTGTTCTGTTGCTGTAGTACCAAAAAAAAAAAAAAAAAAAAAAAAAGCTGTAATAATATTTCCTATTGACCTTTCAAAATAGTATAGCTTTTAGTTATTTATATAACTGGCTATCCTTAAGCTCAAATATCCAAAGATAAGACCTCATAAACTTTAGCTTTTAATTGAATAATTACTCACATAAAACTACATTCCAAACAATTACAGTTGCAAAATAAGCACACTTCAGGAAGCATCAAACACAAAAAGTTTCCAGAGCATTTTCAATGTGTTTTGATTTGCGAATATGCATTATATTACTCTAAACGACAGTTCATCATCAGAGAGTTTTCAGTTAACGAGCTCCTCCTTGTTAAGTGTGCAGCTCTATGTATCTTATGCCATTCAAGTGCTGCTCTGAATTACTGATTTCCTTTGATCTTTTCTCAAGGGAAATATTAGCTATATTAGCTGAATGCTATACAAATATTAACCAATTCCATTTTTACAAAATCTGTAGCATGGTGGTATTGTCCCTATTTTACTGAGATATGACTGAGAAAGAGCTTATGGTGGGGGAAGAACCTGAATGAGAGCTGCTTAACTGCACACGYGGAGCTTTGCAGCGTGTGATAAATTCCAGTACAGGATTCACTGAACTGAGCTGAAGCTCTAAGAAGATGGTACCGCTACAGGTCACAGGAAAGGTCTTAGGCTGGTACCCCAAAGAGGAGGAACAAACACAGTAACAAACTGCAGTAAGCCTTCGTCATAGATTTTGCTTAATGCTGTGTAAGAATGACAACAAACACTAGGGAGAGGGTCTAGTTTTTAGCACAACATCCAGTTATAACAGACTTTCCCTTTCTAGTTTACATCACTATTATGCAGTAACTTACAACAGAAGGAAATTCTAAACTAACATCCAGATTTTTCTTCCCAGTTCTTGCTAACAGATATCCATGACATTTTCTTCAGCATCTGTCTGTATATCAAGCAAGGAGCTAATCTCTTTTTTTTTTTTTGCTTAAAATTTGCATCCTCCTGACCTCTAACCTCTGTATTGTAAGCCATAATATTTTTYGTTGTTAGAACTGACAATTGTTTATCAAAAGATAAGTAGGGCCATCTTGGGTAATAGTCCTGGCATCAGAGACTTTTGATCAACCTTTGCAATTAGTAAAGATTTACACCTTAAAGAGCACCTGAAGTCAGTAAGCAACTCATGCTTTAAGATGCACTTTATAAGATGCACTTTCCTACCATCCTGGCTGCGGCAACTTTGAAGTGCCTTAGACAAACAAAAATATGAATAAAATTATACCACTTGATRTGCTTTCAGAAACAATGCTAAAGGTTCGGCATTGTCCCCTGCAAACCACAAAATCAACAGCATCAATTTCTCAGAAAAAAACCCATCTCTTGAGAGTTTTGTTTCTTGGAGAAACATGAGGCCTTCATTGCTGAAGTGGGATGCTGAGGCAAGTCATTTCCCTTCTGCTAGCACCCAGCGCAAAAAGTGTCAGGAAAAGTTGAGCTTATTTGCAGAATCACTGGAAAAGTAAATGTTCTAGCACTTCTTTTTCCCAAAGCAGAAAAAGATACAGGTTGTAGAGAGAGCTGAAAGGCTGTTTAGGGCACAACATCAAGCTTACCAGGAAAGCAATTCTGAGACGCCGAGAGCTGTCGCCAGTTCTCTTATGGCTACCCACAGGGTTGCTAAGCAGATACCACATACAACTTTCTTCTTGGCTTTCACCTGCATTTTCTGGGCTTTTGGTAGTCAGTTCTGTTAACATGGGAGGATTTTRAGGGAGAACAAAATGGCATTAATTGGCACCTTCACCTGAAAGCATCCAAGTTGATCCTGGGAGAATACTTGAAAAAAACTTTTTTAGCTTTTGAGTTGCTCTTATTGAAAAAAAAAMCTGCTTTGACAAAAATTAAATTACTACAAAACAAGCAATTAAGCCCATTGGCAAATAAATATTTTTCTTGTGCTAATTGCACTATCAAATGTGTTACTAGATGCCTGAGGGAATTCTTATGCTTTTGTGATCACTGTGTTAGTAGCTGCTATTATTAARGACAGAGGATAAAATATAAAATATATTACAGCAAACCAGGTTGCCAAGATAATAATCCAGGGTTGCTTTCAGTGTCATGAAATAAATGATAATGTGTTTTAACTTTAAAAAATAACTTCAGATTGACTGAAACACCTGAGCTGGCCTAGCAGATTTCTGCTCAGTTTAATAGGACTGAGCTGTCACAGGTAGTAAGCCCTCTGCTCAGTTGTATTTTCATGTTCCTGCATTGGAAGTCAAAATAAAATACAAATTGAGGGCTACATCAGAGGTTCTGTACCTCAATTAGCTAGTTTCCCAAACACATGCTAAAAACTAAAATTAATACCAATAAAATAATGCAGATTTGCACACTAGAGTGATTCCTTGATTTCTGTAGGAACTGAATCAAGTCAATTTGCCATATAAACAAGAAACAGAGCCTAAAAGTAGTTGTCTTTTTTTAAGCTTACGAATAGATTTGTGGCAACGTAATCCCCTGTGTTCCCCTCCTTTGCTACATCAGTTAGGCCCATTCCAGTGCCACATCCTGAGAACGAGGCAGGGGCAAAGCTGGATAGCCCTGGTTTCCATGTGCTCTCACTACCTRAACACCCCAGGCACGTTCAGTGGAGGACAGGTTGCAGCTGACATCCTACGYGGCAGCTTCTCACATCCTCACGCACTGTCCCTCATACCGCTCTCTGAGGTGCTTGGTCTCGAACTCTCCATTCCCTCAGCCCCACAGACAGGCCTCAGACCTCTTTCACATCTMTATCTTTCAAGATGTGCATTCCCCTCTAATTTATAACCTTCTAATTTTATTTAAAAGCCCCACTCACGTTCTTCATACCCTCTTCTGCCTCATTATCCACACTTCTCATGTGCAGCCCCACAGCTTTTGCTCCTCACACTCCACAGCAGTCAGCGAGAGAAACATGGTGTGCTTTTGGCACRGTGTTTTGCATGCCACAACAGCACATGTGCAACAAACAGCTCCATGACGCTCCATAAATCACGTGTGGGTATCACAGATCCATACTAATTAGGATGAAGTACAACAGAAGGAGTAGGGAAATTGTAGGGAATAGGAAAAAAATGAAAAGGAGCATATATAGATTAGAAGTCAGTTGCTTGGCAGAATCAGGTGATACATTAGCAGACCCAGGAAACAGAAAAGAAATTAAGTTAAACAAAACCAGAATTTTGTGAGAACTCAGAGAAACATGGTGACACTGTGATGCTGGCCCTACAGACTTCCAAAACGGAAATTGCTGACGCTTCATGTATGATTTCTTGGCTTAAAACTTTCATTAATCCTGCACTAGCAGGAACTCTGAAGATTCTGTTTTTTAATCAAGAGGAAAAAAAAAAGCTATTTAAAAACTGCTTGATATAACTAATCATTATATGAAGAAATCATTATATAAAGAAATACAATTCTTATGTTCAAGGTGGAAAAAATGTGTATGGGAACATGAAAGTCACTTCTGTAAGGAAATTTCAGTTCTTATAATGCCTCTCAGATGCAGCGCATCAAAACATAACCAGGTTAAAACTTACACTTCAAAAATCTACAACTCTTGTGCTACAAAAAAGAACAACATAAAATGTGTTATTAAGTCTTGTTAACACCACGAAGTTCACTTGAGCTGAAATACTCAATGGTTTTTGAAGAATTTTACTGTGAACAGTAACCTTTAGAACACTCTTCACCCTTTTTTAGCTGGCTTACACTAAAATTTCCCAAGAAACATGACTTTATATTGGCACATACTTTTGTACAGGAGCAGTGTCAGATAAACAGAATTACCCTTGTTGCCCTCTGAAATCCCAGGGAGTCCCATGGAGCTGTTGTTTCCAGATAAATCAGAGCACACTACTTCCCACATATGTCCATTCAATCCCAGAAGTGACCCTTTAAGAAAGAAAGGATCTTATTCTCTTCAAACTTATTTTATTTTCATAGCAAAAAATTGGAAACAAAATCTACTTCTTCTACCATGCAAAGTGTTTGTTAGTTATTTTGACAGCTAGTCTTCAACTCTTCTGCACATTGAATGCTATGCCGTTTCAAAACTCTACTTTGCACATTAAATGTACAATAAAAGTACAATATAAATAAAATAGTTTATTACAAGTATGTTAGAAGAGCTCTACAGTACACCTTCAAAACATTTTATACATTGCTCTTTCAATATGAAACAATTCACGTAGGGAGATAAAAAAATGTCAGTGTATGAGCTACAGTCAATCTTAGATACTGARTTAGCCTGTCATACCAAGATCACAGTAACTACAGACTCTTTCCAAGCATCTTTCCTGTTTTTAATCTCTCTGAAGATGGGAAAGAATCACAGGTATGAAAATAAAATTTAAGAAATCCCTTCAACTGTCATTTCATTTATACTGAATACTACAGAGCTTATGTCACACACACAGAAAAGGGTAAATCACTTCAAAAAGTTAAAATGTCAAAAACAGTTTCCTTAAATAAATASGGACCTATTTAAATAGTGAAAACAATGCCATCTTTCTTATAGTTATGTTAATTTAGGCATAGAATTGAAAACTTCTGTTTCAATACCTCAGAAGTTGCCAACAGTGTAAAACATACTCAAAGGTGGGTTTTTTTTAAACAGGACAAGAATCAAACTTCTTACTAAAAACGAATAAAGTTCCACTGAATTTAYTGCTGTTGCCACTCCCACAGGCACAATAGGAAAGGCTCCCCACTTACCAGAAAGTAAACATACCTACAGCTTCTCTTAATACAAACTGGAACTAATATGACCTAAATGTCATTTTAGTTTCTTACATTTAATGTAATGAGAACATGACTTCCTGACAAAACTGTGTGTCACAGTTATCACATCTTAGAATGTTTCAGTAACTGATGCACAATGTGCACTAGAAGGAAAGCCGATCAGTGCTCCGTAAACAGACAGTGTGTGCAATGATGCTAATGCTTATTTCTTGTCCTCTTGCAGCAAAATGCGTCAGTATTTTGTGAACTGCCCAAAAATCTAGAAGAGGCAGCAACTATATTAGGAAGTAGAAATAATGAAGTGGTGAAAGGAATGAATTGATCAGAAACCTTAGTACTTCTGTACACATACACTCTACCACAAGCACGAGCTAAACAAAGCAAGTGCTTTGGTTTGCAACATGGAGGAAGGTAGAAGAAATGCAAAATGCTTTTTTGTTACTTTTTACTACTCTATTTTCAGATATATCACAAATTACATCAGGTGGACTGTTCTAGGGATGGTTTTAAAGCCAGTAAAAGAACTTTTATCAGGCCATGTCTGTACCATAAGAGAGAAGGCATTGCAGTCAGTAGAAGCCTTTTGCTAATTATGTAACCAAAGTTTTACACATGTAACAATGCAACACTATCCATTTTTGATTAAAAAAAAAAAAAGTCTCTGRTGGTTACTCTCCTACTCAGCTGAACTGACTTTTTTTTCAGCTGTTTTTAAGGTGAGTAAGGTGATGCCTTTTCAAATGTGAGCCCTGTCTAAAAGTTTTACCACAAACTGAACATTCAAATGGCTTATGTCCAGCATGCATCAGATAATGTCTTTCAAGCTTAGAAGGAGATTTAAAAGTTTTAAAGCAAAGGCTGCAATGATATAACTTCTTCTTAATAACATTACTTTTCTCTGTGCTTTCGGGAAAATCGTAACAACGGTAAAAGCTCTGCTCCGCTTCCAGCGGCTCGCCGGGCAAAGAGGGCTGTGGGTTTCTACTGCTGGCACCAACACAGTCCCCAGACTCCATTTCAACTTTGATTTCAGCCGCTTGGTTTGACTGAGTCAGCTCGAAATCTTGGAAGCCAGACGCCTGTGAAGGTGTCGGAGAATAACCCACGGGCTGAGGAGGCTTAAATTCAGCGTGATCTTCCTGATGATTGAAAAGCTGGTTCAGATTTTCAAATCTCACCTGGCAAATGGGTCTTTTACAAGGTCTCTTTTCAGTATGGGTGAGCTGATGTCGCTTTAAGTGAGCTGACTGTCTAAATGTCTTCCCGCAAACATTACAGCCAAAGGGCTTCTGTCCCGTGTGTATAAGATAATGCCTTTGAAGCTTGGAGGAGGAAGGAAAGATTTTTTCACATCTGTCACATTTGCACACTTTGTGTCTCTCAAATATATTTTTAGTAGGAGTTGAAAAAGCACAGTGAAGTATTTCTGGATTATCAAAGAAACCATCATGTGATAAACCATAAAAAGCATTACCTTCCTTACACACTGCCTCATCCATGTTGAGCATTCCTTCCCCCGCATGCAGGTCTTTGGCATGAATTCCTAATTCAGGAGGTTCCAGGGGTTCTTGCCAAGGTAAGGACAAAGGAAACACTCTTCTTTTCTTACTGCTCATCACCTTGTGCATGACAAGCTTACTGTGGCAATCCTTGAAAGGTTTAGGAGCAGCATTCTGATCACAACACTGATCTCTCGCCGGAATCAGCTCCCGACTTTTCAGGTGACTTGGTTCAATTCTTTTTCTCTCAGGCACAGAAGAATTTGATGTCTTTTCTCCCGCACACTTCAGCTTCATCGTTATTTTATTTTTCACGCCGACCTTGCGCCTGCAAGCTGCGGGCCGCTTACTCGAACTTTTGTCGGTACTCGGATAAAAACATTTGTGCAAATTTAGAACCCGTTCCGTTTCAAAGCACTGCTCACACATGGAGCACTGGTAGGGAACAATGTATATRGAGTGAGCGTAATGCAGGTCGGGCTCTTTGGACACAGCAGTCTCCAAATTATCCCTCTCTCCTTCCAACAAAACCTGCGGCCTGGAACGATCAGGATTCTTTGCTTTGTATGTAATAGCGGGGAAAGTCTTATTTCTGGCATGGAGCAGTTTGTGCTTGATGAGTTTGCTCTGTATTTTAAACCTCTTCTGACAAAAACAACACTGAAAAGGCCGTTCTTCTGTGTGCGTGAGCTGGTGGATTTTTAAGTGTGTTGACTGCCTGAAAGATTTACCACATGAAGAACATTTAAAAGGTTTCTGGCCAGTGTGAATAAGAAAGTGTCTTTGTAGTTTAGATCTTGATGGAAATGTCTTGTTACATGATTCACAAGGGTGAGTTATCTTTCTCATTCTGGTACTAAATAGATGATCTGCCTTTGGGCACTGATGCAGCATCCACCTCTCCTCAGACATAAAAGATTTCCAGCACACAGAACATTGAAATATGTCACAAAAGCCATTATCTGGCTTTGAACCCTCAGATTCTTCTTGCTTGATATCATTCTGGTAATTTTCATTATGAAGCTGCTGATGTTTAAAGAAAGTGATCAAGTTTTTGAAGTTTCTATGACAAACAATACACTTAAAAGGCAGGTTGTGGGTTAACTGGTGCCTGTCCAGGTGGACTAGCTGTCTGAAAGCCTTATGGCACACATGACATTCAAATGGCTTCTGACCAGTATGTATCAGATAATGCCTGGCTAATTTGGATGGAGTTTCAAACTGTTTATAGCAGATGTCGCAAATATAYGGTCTTTTCCTGGGCATCCTCGTGGCTGTCACACACTGCTGAATTTTTAACATGTTTTACAAACAATTACACCTTGCCTGCAGTCAGTATCTTCAGGAAAGTACTTCAAGGGAAATCATCAACTGCACGTGACGATGGAAGGCTGTAGAAGCAGTAGACTTGCTTCAAAGAAAAGCTCTTCAATCCCACAGCTCCCTAAAACAGGAAAGAGGATATTTTGGCCTACATTAATACATAATGATCCAAGTTTGTCTCACTYCTTATCTAAGAGACCAAATACATCTGAATTTAGAATACATTTAACTTTACTTAGCTTAAAATACTTCCTACTCATAATCACTCATTATGTTAGATGATATGGAAAACCTGCACATTTTCCTGAAGGAAATGTCTATAACACAGATTATTTAATCCTGCATGTTACCTCCAATCATATAAACATTCTGATATTTTATTCACAAGTAAAGCATATTCTTTAAAAATACACTTATGGTAACATTCTCCCCTGCAACAGTAATTTTAATTACCATGGTAAACCATATATATGAAGATGAGAGATGTCAGAAATAACTCGTCCAGTTTCTCGGACATTAGAAATAACTGTGTTTGTGAGAAGTGAAAACTAACCTTATTCAGAAACTAAACATTAAGAATTACAATTCATATTTCTGTATCTAATCAGCCTCATACAAAAGGAACAGTAATATAATTATTTTTGCCTTTCTCTCAAAATGGCAAATACCAGCACCAGAGGAACAGACAGGAGCCTTTAGCTGTCACCAGCATGAAGAGGGCCCCCATCCCTCAGCAAGGGCCACGGCACGCGGCGCATCCACCGCAGCACAACCGAGCTGGAATACCTGCACCACGCTCCCCACCCATGCTCATGCTCTTATGCCAACACAAATGAATCATGTTAAATAATGGTGGTGCTTTAGATCATCAGAATCAATGCAATTGTGGGACTGCAAGCTCATGAAACAGTTGGGTCTGCGTCTCCAGGAATGTTCAAGACAGAGCAGGCTGAGGGGAGGCTACTGCCTTTCAGTTTGGTTGGCTGCAAGCAACAACAACAACAAAAAGAATTCTTCTGCTCTCAACTACTCCCAGTGTTTTTTAAGTACGCACGGGAACAGAGAGGAAAAAAATAATAAAAAAATAAAAAAAATAAAGGAGAGAGAAAAACCTCGAGCAAGCATTTAGTCCAAGCCTTCCACTGTGCGGCCAACTCGGATCTAGACAATTCCAAAATGTCCTCAAGAATTTTTGCTGAAGGAGAWTTTTTTTTTATTTTTCAACCTCAGTAGGCTTCCTGCTCCAAGGTTTTGAGGGTTTTTCTTGTATTCAGCTAAAACTTTATTGGATAAAAAATTTCTTTTTCTGTCCTTTACACCCCATGCACATGGAAAATAACTGAAGGATGCTCTCTGTAAAAATCTTACGAAATCAAAGTCTTATTTCTTTCCTCCACCCTTATATTTTAAAGCAATGTAATTCTGATTTTCTAACTTTTGCTTTTAAGTCTTCTTTTCAGGAAAAAAATAAATGCTCTTTTTCATTTCCTCTGTAATACTTGGTTTCACTGAATTGCAACACCTAAAACAGATGAGGTAATCCAAGAATAAAAATACCTCTACATCATTTTTCCTTATTAAAAAGAAGGACGAGGGAGCAAATTTTAAAATGAGTTAATGGCTAGGACTTGTAATAACTTTGAGATACACAATAGATTATTTCTAACTATAATTACTTAATTACGATTTGATACCGCAAGTCATGGATTCATTCTACCTACTGGCATCACAATAATTAAAAAAAGGTGTCTCTAAAAGCCTGCCAATGAGTTAATGTCCCTAACTAATGAAGACTTCGTGAGAAACATCTGAAAAGGATAGACCACTCTAAGTCATTTCAAAGAATAAAAGGCTACTACATTTTAACATAAATTATGTTGAAATTCAACAGCATAACATGGACACAACACAAAAGACTGCGACCATCTGGGGAATTAGGCTTCGTAAGCTCAGTGGAAATAAACCTGGTCAAGTGAGGCTGGAAGTTCTTTCAAAGCTCTGGTTCATGGCACCCTCCACTAGGAAGGCTGAAAGAACGAAAACCTGAGAAAGCAGCGCTGTAAAATTTCACAAATTCCAGCGCAGGTGCTGTCCTGCCTGTAATTTATACATAATTTATGCTGTCCTACCCTTGTAATTTATACATCAGAAAGGTGCTCAAACATCACAGTGACGCACGAAGAACAAAGTCCCAAGTGAGAGACAGCTGTGACACATTATAAAAGCAATGTGCCATTTAGCTTATGAATTTGTTAAAGATTCTATGTGGTGAATGAGGAAAACGCTCGTGGCACAAGGAGTCCCAAACAGAGCCCCACTTTTTGCTAGAGCCTGTGAAAGACCAAGGGGTCGGATGAACTAAACTCCTGGGATGCAGCCGGAGGAGAACACGGATAAGATGGATGTTACTCTGTGGTCCAAATATATTTTCCAATCCTACTTACTAAGACCTGACTTCTCCACATCTATTTCAGGGTGATCTGTGCCCTGCATCCTTACGGAATAAACACACTACTGCTGAAGATCACAGAAGAGAAGATAAGCCCAGGATATTCCCTGTTACCAACCTGGAACTACACAGGCTGGTCCTCATTAGAGTCAGAAGGATGTACTTTCCTACATGATAGGCGTTTAGCTTGTGGACTAGGTCCTGCTTAATATTAAATTGAAACTACTTTCTGCATGGCTGCAAGGTCATGCAGAAAAACAGAATCAAGAGGTAACGAAGACTGCAAAAGTCCACAGGAGACCTTCCCAAAACTATCATTTAATGAGCAAATGAAGATTACGTTTGTTAATTTTGAGGATGACAGCAAGCTGAAACAAGCTGAAAAATACGATGGAAAAAAAAAAAAAATCTGATTTCTAACCCGGTCTTTATCAATCATATTAAGCTGGACCGAAAGAGAAAAAAAAAAAAAAAAAAAAAAAAAAGCAGGCCTTTCTGTTTAGGATGGGAGAACCAACTGCAAGGGCAACAACTGGCCTGGTAGCAGTTGTGCAAGGGAAGACCTGGCGACTACATGGAGCAGAAGCTGGTTACGTCGGCAGCGCTGGTCACTTTGCACAGTATTAACCTGCAAACCAGGATGCATCTTGAGCGGCCATAAACCTCCCACGCTGCCTGCGAGCGCCCAGGATGCAGTGCTCAACACGGCTGCAAACGCTGCCCTTCCACCTGGCTCAAGAACGGGAGCTAACGGAAAAGGAGACCAGAAAAGGGGATCGAGAATAAGCAGAGCTTAAATACACAACGTACAGGAAAAGATTAAAGTAGCTGGAAATGTTCAAGCTAAAGAGGGGACCTGGATGGGAATATATATATATATATATATATTCCCCGCGCCCAGCTCGCTCCTCCTTGCGCCATTAACGCACTGACACGGACCACTTCCAAGCACCAGGAATCCTGCGTGTTTCCGAGTGTGCCAGGGAAGGATTTGCGCCTGGTGGTTCTCAGTATACCCCGAGACCCTGGAAGTAAGCTAGGGCTCCCAGCCTTCGAGACACCAATACGAGAGAAGCAGTCAGAGCAACAAACGCGCGAGGAAACCGAGGGATACTGGGCGCAAAACGCCGCGGGGTCCCGCCGCGGCCTGGCTGCCCCCTCCGGGAAAGCCCCGCGCTGCCAACGCGCCCCTGGAGACCCCTGGAGAGGGAAAGATCAGATTCAGAGCACGCAGAGCAGGCGCGGGAAGCGGCCCCAGCCCAGGCGCCAGGCGCGGCCGGGGGGCTCTGCCCGCCGGGACGGGACGGGAGCGGCCGCGGCCGGGAGCGGGGACAGCGACAACCTGGAGCCGAGCTACGGCCGCGCCGCCCTCCTCACCGCTGCCGAGCTGGCGGCTGCCGAGCGCTTCCTGCCGGATGGCAGCGGCGCGCCGGCACGCAGGGAAACGCGGCCCGGAACTTTCCGTTCCCCCCGCGCGCCGCCGCAGCCCTCGGCGGGGCGCAGCCCTCGGCGGGGCGGGCCCGGCCCGGCCGTGGCCCCGGGGCGCTGCCGGGCCCGCCGCCTTCCCCCGGGCCCGGCGCCCGCTGCCCTGGCCGAGGCGCCCCGTGTTCCACCCTGGGGACACGCGCGAGCGGCGGCTGTCCCGGGCTGGCCGCCTGAGGCACCCATAAATAACCAGATAAATAAATAAAGCAGCCGTTTGGTGGAGTCTTGCTGCTCTCTGGCCATGGAAGTGGGATGAGAAAGTGGGAATCCATGAGCCAAAGGGTGCGGGATGCGGCCRTACCAGCCTGCAGCCGGGTCCCTGCATCCCCTGGCCGTGGTTGTGACCGGGCCCCGCTCACGTTGCTGACCATAACGCTGCCCAACACCRTTTTATTGTATCCCCACTTACTGACCATAACRCTGCCCAACACCGTTTTATTGTATCYCCACTTACTGAACCCGCCTGCATTCTCCAGTCGCCCTGGGAGCAGTGGAATTACCTGACTTCCATCACCTGCCGCGGCCGTATCAGAGAGACCTGGCACGTCCAGAGAYAGCAGGTCCGTGTGCCGCAAAGATCTCCATAGGCAAAAGTCTCCTAGATGGGAATTAATTCCATATGTCAAAACCACATCACCACAGGAAAAAAATGATCCACTGCGGAGTCACGGCCTGCAATGCCACTAACAGGCTACTCCGCTGCCCAGGGAGGTTGTGGAGTCTCCTACTCTGGAGGTCTTCAAAACCCGCCTGGATGCCACCCTGTGCCACATGCTGTAGGTGTGCCTGCTTGAGCAGGAAGGTTGGACTAGATGATCTGYAGAGGTCCCTTCCAACCTTAAATATTCTGTGAATCTGTAATGCTCAGCTTCCTTTGGCAGCATTTTCACATAAAGGCTTTTTTTAAAGCAAATCTATCCTAGCCCAGAAGTTATGGAGGACCAAGAGAATGTGTATTTTAAGTTTTCAGTAGGGAAAGGCCCTTTCCTTAGTAAATAAATAAATAAATAGATAAATACTCCTTTTGTGAGTGAATTTGCAGTGCTGAAGAGGAAAAAAATATGAGACTGTGGTTAAACAGTCCCCTTCATGGGTTTATTTCCTTAATGTAGATTTATTTTAAGAGCTTTCCAGGTCTTTCTTACCCACAGACATGAAATAGCAACCRGAGTATTTCCTTGCTAGCAGCATTCCCGCTCACCCAGCATGTTCCTCTCACTAACCTTTCTCTGGCTCTTATCTGGAAAGGTCTGGCTCTTATCAGGAGAGATGGGAAGAGGCTTGAAAGGGGCAGATAATGACGGGTGAATCAACCTAGAAATTAGTCATCTTTCACTGATATGCAGTTATGAAGTACAAACTATTACAGTATGTTGCCAGTGATTAAAAAAAAAAAAAAAAAAAAAAAAAAAAAAAAAAAAAAAAAAGGGAATTTGATAATCATAAAGTAATTCTCTCTCTGGATAGAAAATACACTCAATCACCCTCTTACCTCTCTATTATTGTTGATAAATACTCTATTGATAACCTATTGTTAGCTAAAAAAGTCACTATTTTGTTTACTAATGGCTTCTGCATATATCAGTGAAAAAAACTTGGCAGTTTTTACAAGCCTAAGCATAAGATAATTTTGCTTAYCCCACCTGTGTAACTGTTCTTGACATGTATTTTGATATCTAAAAACCAAAACACCAACCAAACATACAGAGCAATCACCGCTTCTTAGTTTAACAATGTCAGTAAAATCAGATCTCARTCTTTC